TAGAGTACTATTTTGTTTACTTTGTCAATGAATGATTATAAATGCTTGAGATTTAAAAAAGAAAGTGGAATTATTTTGACGAGAAACAAAAATACTGGAGAAGATTAAGATAGATTTATTTTTTTCTGCGGACATTTTCCTCTTTCATCATTTCATTTCATCCATGAGTGTTTGAAGAAAAAAAAAGCCGATTATTTTTTTTTTATGTTTTAAAATGATTAAATATTTAAAAGTTTAATCGATAGAGATACACGTTTACTACTATAAAAATGAATAATAGATTCAATTAATATTTTCCTTATGTTTTTCTCAATTTCATTTATAAAATCAATTAAAATATTTTTTCATAAGAACATACTGTTGTTAAATGAAGAATTTTATTATCAAGTGCTTGCATGTCACGATGATTTTGTTCTATTTCCATCTTGAATAAAACGAATAAGATTTTAAAAATTCATCCAAAATATTTGATTTTTAAATTACTTTAGCTTCAGTTAATTCTCGATCAGCTGCTTCAACAGTATACTGTTTATCGGCTTGAACTTTTCGTGCAAGACGATCAATATCTTTAAGATCTCGAAGAAGATCGTCGTTTTTCAGACGTTCTTCAAATTGTTTATTTGATAAGTCACGTTTAAGATCAATTAATTCTTGAAGACGTCGTTCTAATGTACGATTTTCTTCACGTAAAGCTTCAATCTTTTTGTTTTAATAAAAAACAATCAAAATTGTTTAACGAAAGTAAATTTAAAAAAAGTCTATATTTATATTTACTTCTGCATTTTGATGAGCAACGACCTTCTCATTACTTTTTAGTTTTGCTTCTAGTGTAAATAAATCAGATGAACGACTACCATCACATACACGATGAAGTCGTTCAGCTTCTCGATCACGAGTTCCAACCTATAAACAAAAATGTTTTAAAGTTTAATCCAGAAAAAAAAAGCCAAGAAAAGATCAAAAAGTACTTCTAATACGAACCTGATGAATACTTGATGAACGAAATGGAAGCGATCCATTTAAATTCGATTTTGATCGCAATAAAGGACGGTGAGAATAATTTGAGGATGATGTTGGTGTCGTCATTGTTCTCATCAATGTTGAAACAGTATGAGCATTGTGTAAATCGGTAACCGGGCCACTACGTCGTGAAGTGTACATGTCTCCTTCGGTGTTTATATTTCTTCTTTTTTTTCTTCTTCACCTACCACCCCACACACGTTGATCGGTACAGAATGTCAAATTCTCATCCCAAAATTTCCCTTAGGGAATCTATGATATGTCTTCTTCTCTCGTTCACGTTTGATTTTTTGTCTAGATGGAAATTAAACAAAACAAGTAAAGAAGTAAAAGAAGAAAAAAAAGTGAAATTAAAAATTGGTTTTCTGTTTTTTTTTCTTTTCATACATGCACACAGACACATACACGAACATACATAAAATTGTGGTTTACAAAAAAAAGTTGAGTGGATGGTTGAGAATAAAGAGTAGTGAATTTTAATATGTTTAAGAAAAAGATCGAAGACAAAGAGACATATGAGAATAAAATAGAGAGGAGAAAAGGAAAGAAAATGCGACCACTAAATAAAAAAACAACATTTTCATCATGTGGATGGCGTTTGTCGTTATTATTAATAGTCACTACGATGGTGGCCATGAAAGACACAAAAATTTGTGGCTTGCGGTCGCATAACAAAAGAAAAAAGACATAGGTCTCTTTTTTAAAAATGCGTGTATTTGTAATAAGAGAAAATAAATATGCCACATATTACGAACATTACACATACGTAAACTTCACAATTTACTGATGTTGTAATCGACTCAATATCTACTATATTAAAGAAGAAAAAAGAGAATATATGCAAGAGACTGATGAACATAGAAAAGAACAAATGAGTTAAAGGCACGCAGTGCCTTCGCATAACATTAAAAAAGAAAGCAAAAAGGGACGCTCGTGTGCTTATACAAGCTGACTGCTTGTATGATGTCAGGTTGATAGCAAATTTTTTGCTTCTTTTAGCCACACACATTCCATTAAGATTTACAACTTTTCTTTTACACTTGAAATGAAAGACGAGGACAGACGAGAGTATATGGAATAGAGAAAGAAATTGGCTTCTCTCATTGTCGTTCTTCTTCTATTCATTTCAATGCATGTAATAGTCATTACGTTCAGTTGCGATTTTTCTCTTCTTATAACAATCACCAGAAGCAGTAGTAACAGAAATTAAGCAGTCATTCTTTCTGTCATCAAATAATCTTGCTAACATTATTATGACATCTGTTTTATCAATATGTACGTGTATGTAAGATGATAATAGTATAAAGGAAAAAAAAAATAAAATTCTTTTTCTTTTTTTTCTTCTTATCCACAAGTAATTTCTATTATATCAATAAAGACCACAAAGCGACGTAGTATTTCATTGATTATTATTATTTTTTTATATATTTTCTTCGTTTTTTTTCTCGTTCGTTTTTTCTCTGATATTTGATGCTTTGAAAGTTTGATCAATTATATATCCAATTTCTTTATGTAGATAGATCTTTTCATTGTCTTATGTTATTCCATTTGACTAATAGCATCAATTTACAACAAAAAACTCGTTGTATCTGATATTTAAAGCGAAAGAATATATACGTAGTGTTCATTTTCTTCTTTGCATACTTTTGTTTGAGATTCATTTTCTACTTTATATATGACTTTAATAATAAAAGAATCATGAATAAAAAGGTATCTTTAACAATGATTTAGAAATATATTATTAATATGTAATCTTTGATGATGAAATTGAATTGAATACTTATTCTGATCTAAGTTTATTTATATTGATAAGAAAAAAACATGAGTTAAGGTATCTATGCCAAATATGTATACAATGAACTTCGAATATTGTTCTTTTAATTCTAAAATTTTCTCATCATTTCCTTGAGATTTCTTTTCTCATTGAACGTAATCGATCAATGTGGTGTATATTCAAAGACAAAATGTAAATTAGAATTTTCATGTTGTGTTTTTCAACAATGTCAAAAGCAATGCTGCAAAACTTTAAATTTAAATACAATGTACAGTGGAGAAATTCGCATCTGCAGTTTTTGTAGGAGTACGATTTGTTCGAGTATGAATATGCAACAGTGTTTCAATAAAGTGTCTCTAATAATATTGATCGGAACGTTTTCGTAATTTAACATAATTTTGTTAAAATATTATAACCATTATAACATCAAATTTCTTAGCTGAGATTTTATGAAATTGAATGCGATGATATCATAATGTATGTCTGTATCATAAAAATCTTAAAAGATCAACCATAAATTTAAGTTGAACAGTAGTGAAGTATCTTAATATCAACCAACATAATGGGTGAAACAAAAGTTTCGTATTAATGTTGCCTCTGATGTAGTGTAGTACAAAAATATAGAAAAATATATACAAAGAGTTAGTTGGAAATATTCCTTGAAGGCCATAAAAATCTGAGAACAAAAGTTATGAAGAAACACTTCCGTAACTTTTGTAAGAATTTTTTGTATCCAAATATATTTGTTTGACTTTTTTTTTATCGGCTCTCGACATTTTTTACCATCATAAATATATATAACGGTTCACTACAACGATGGCTTTTGTGTGATATTAAGACAGTTGGTCTAACATTTAAGAGATCGAATGATAAACAGTGAATTAAACAATCAGATTCGTGTTTATAAAACATGAGCAAAGTTTTATCTGAATCTTTCACAGAGAAGCTGCGCTCTATTCCAAATAATATTATTTAGTAAAGAACTCGATAAACTTTTTTTCTCATATCAAATGTATGGATCTTCTAATAACTTATCTTTTGGAGTAGAATATCGTTTTTGACTGAGATCTGTAATTGCAAAAAGTCGGCGATATCAGAAGGTTCTGTAGTAATGTACATATTGACCGTTGTAAAACAAGTTGTTGGAAAAACAAAAAGAAAAAGAAAACTTTTCGTTCCGTGTGAAGTATTTTTGTAAATCAAAAAAAAATTGTGAAAGAATTTTTCAATGCCTTTGGTTCTAAAAATTTTAATGTTCTTCAGGAAACATTTTTGATCTAGTTCTTGTATATAATTTTGTACTAGACATTTTGTTCTTTCTAAGAAGAAAAAGATCAGGACTGTATTTTTTTGTATGAATCTTAATACACCAAAAATATCAATCATTCTGAAGACTGATTAAGCAGTTAGTGAGATTTAATGATTATTATTACATTTATCAAAGAAATTTGATGTCAATCATATCCTAAGTCTCACCAGCTCAATCAGTAAACCATTGATCTAGTATAAAGTTCATGTTCTGAGAGATCGTAAGATTAGAACTTCGAGCTTAGTGCGGAACATCTTTTTACATTTGTTCTTTTAAGCTTTCAAATGAATTCTTAACGAGTACAAAAAGAGAAAAGTCGAATGTTTTGATAAACTTACAGTAGACTAGAGTTTCAGTTAATGACATAGATAAGAATTCTCTCGATTTAGATCATTTGATTTATGTTGTTGAAATTTTACTGAAAATGGTGAAGAAATGCGTACTAAGCTTCAGATATAATATTTCTATTTGAAAAATTACTAATGAAAGAATACTATTTGTTCATATTTTGTACTTAGTTTAGATTCACCTGCTATATTTTCGGTAAAGAAAAAACAAACAATTACACAAAACTTTTCGACAACAAAGTAAGATTGTCTTAGTGACATTAGTCATTTTGATGTTTTGTGGCTTTTCATTTTTTCTGTACTGATATCAATCAGATAAAAAATGTTACTCAAAAATATCTGTTTGTGTTGTCTAATATTTTCAATACTAAACAACAACAACAACAACTTTGTAACCGAGAATTATAAAGAATTAATTTGCTCGGTTCAATTGAATTCATCAATATGTTAAACATTTTGTAATCGAAGGAAAAGAATAGTCGTCAAGAATTTGATATTTATTTAATTTTTAATCATAAAAGAAAAAAACGGACAGCTATTATGAAATAATTTAAAGTAAAAGTTCACGAAGTGACAAAGTCTTCTTTTTATTTTTCATAGTTGAATTTTTCGGTGAAACTGATTTTGCAAAACCAACACGATTATTACCAAAATCAAATTCTGTATACCATGGTCCAATAAAAACATCACCAAGAATCCAGAGTGGACCGGCTGGTGGTGGAATATCAATACCAGCAAAACCAGATAAACAAATTGTTTTATTAAATTCTTTTACAACTAAAACATACTCAGGACCATCCAAATAAAAATCTGTTGCATTAAGAGTAAAATGAATACGAGGTAATTTCGGTATTGCATTACAATCAATCATATACTAAATATTAAAAAAGACTTTAAAAAAAAAAGGGGAATTATTCCTTTTTTTCT